TATATAAATGTATAATGTTATGAGATTTAAACTATTTTATTTAAACATTTATGTTTTCCTCTTATAATTTGTGTTTATTCTAGAATGAAAGGGGCATAACTTATGTTTAATTCGTAATTTGTTATGGTGGTTGTGAGATCGGTCAAATTTACAGAACCCGTACAGAGATTAATTACCGAAAATAACAGATAAAATATAAAGTTTTTTCTTAAGAAATGTTTTATAACTATCTGGACATTATAAACATTTTGCATGTGAAATTTTTAAATTGTCTGATGCTAAAAGTATTTTTAATGTTAAAATGAAAATTACTTTGCATGATAGATAGTCAAGATGTGAAAAGAAAAAAAGGCATGAGAAAAATATTGCTTTACAAACCTTAAGACTTAATAAAAAAATTAGATATTTTGCATATGAAAGCATTGTAATGTTTACTGATAAATTGCAAAATTTCGTTAACATTCGCTTACTAATTTAAAAGTTATAGCATGAAAACTATAACAAGCACAAAATGGTTACAAGGTCGGTCCGAGGGTCCAAGCCTGGGTTGAAAAAGTTAACAAAGTAATAAATCTTAGAATCTTATTTATTATTTATTTTCATTATTTATGTTTATGACTATACATTTTAATAAGAAAAATCTAAAAATATGCTACAAAAAAAAAAGGAGGAAAATAATTTACCTGACTAGATAAAACTTTCACTGCTTCATCATGACAAGCTTGCCGTAAATCAATATTGTTAACAGATAAAACAGCATCTCCAACAAACAAATTACCACTGCGTGATGCTGGTTGGTCAGGATGAATTTCAGAAATTAAGATTGGAACACCATGTTCCCTTCCTCCCTGAAAAAATTGGATGTAGTAACTACATAATATGTTTTTGAATTTTGTAGTAAAATTATAAATAACCAAAAGGAAAACTTATAAACTTGGTAATTCACAGAATCAACAAAATACTATTCAAGCCAGAAGAAAAGTTTTGATGAAGAATGAAAATTATACATGCACCTTTAACCTTCATCTTACATGATACAAGTCAGAAAAAACTAAATAAATAACCTAATCAGAAACTACTTTTTCTTTTGCTTGGAAAGAAAATATTTGAGAGCATTAGTTTAACACTGAAATAGACCCTTAGATTTATTTCACATCTTTCTGGTGTTTGAGGTCTAATGTTATTATTATTATTTGTAACATATGAACACATATGTTTGTTCACAAATGACAACACTATGTATAATACACTCACAGTGATAGATATACCTAGGCCTTCATTTTCCCCTTTTGTGAGATGGACAGTGCGAATTTGTCCAATACCCTGTCTTGAATGTTGGCTTTCCTGTGTTTAAGGCAAAAAAAAATCAACTACACATTTTAGGAAACATTAAAGAATTAGCTAAAACAATACTGAAAAAAAAACTAGAGTATGTCCTGAAAAGCTTAAAGCTTCAGTATGTATATAAATCTTTCCTATATAAAAGCAACAAAAATTGAATGTTTTATCAATTTAAATTTTTTGTCTAGTTTTTCTTAATTTTATTTTCAATAGACAATTATTTATAAAATAATGTAATTACCATTCATAAAGATAAGCTGGAAATTAACAAGTGCAACATAAGATACATGGTTTTCAATGCACCAGAAAAATGAAAAAAGGAGTACAAGTAATATAACATAAATAATTTTTTATATCAGAGAAAATAATCTGAATTATAAAAGATGGTTGTTAATAAAAGCTCTATGTAATGAAATTAATTCTTCTTGGAAACATTGTCTTAGTTCCTCAGTAAAATGCATGGATTCTAATGACAAAAAAAAGTTTTAAAAACAAATAAAATAAAAAATAGTCCTAACATAAGAATAACATTTTAATATGAATTAAAGAAAATTAATAAAATATTGAATCAAAAGTGGAGGTAAGACTTTTTAGTGTTTTATATAACTTATATTATTATTATATATTATATATATATATATATTATATTATATTACTATTTAATAACTGACTAAGAATGTTTACTGACTTTCTTTTTTGTATACTATATACATGTACACAGGGTAGTTATTTTAACTCTTTTCAGCATGAGCTCAGTCCCTGCTATAACTTTTAAATTAGTAAGCATATATGAACAAAATTTGGCAGATTATCAGTAAACATTACAATGCTTTTATACACAAAATATCAAATTTTTCTATTAAGTCTTAAGGTTTGCTAAGCAATGTTTTTCTCATGCCTTTTTTCTTTTTTGCATGTCGCCTGTCCAACATGCAAGGTAATATTCATTTTAAGATTAAAAATACTTTTATGCATCAGAAAA